TATTTGATATTTGAAACGAAACCTTGGTAATGATCCTTTTAAAAAGAATTTGTTCAAACATTCATAAATAGCATTTTTCTACTTATGCCATTTTAAAAACTAATTCAACATTTCTAATAATATGACTCAGTTGTCAACCTCGGACATTTTTAAACCTCATTATTTGTAAGAATTAGCAATACTACCTTAGTGATCAAACCAAACCAGGTGAAGTGAAGTTCTAATATATGTGTTTATTGAAAGATTTCTGCATCACTAATATTTATTCAATTGATCTATTTTTATGTAAATGATTAATGTAGAGAAATACATTCTCATCTGCTTACTAAGAATGTTTTCCAAAATTTGGAAGGAATGAGCAAATGAAATGTTTTTAATATATTTAAAACTGTGTACATTCATTTTCTTGTGACGAGGTTCAAAAATATCCTTTTTCTTCATAGCATCTACTTATTTGTATTGATATATTTTTAAATAGAAGTTATTGTATTCATTCTAAAGGAAAACATCTGTTATGACTAGTAATACTTGGCTACTAGTGTGAGACTTCAATGGTTTTATTAATCAAGATTATCCAATGGTTATGAACTTATAGGGATAGAAAATATTTTGACCGGTTACTTTTCTTAATTTATGTATAGTTAGTAACTACGAGTTTGTTACTAAGCCTTCTCTATTTTTAACCGATCACTACTTGAATTCAGTTCGAATTAGTTAAGCTTGATTAAATCGTGTTCTGTAAGGTGTGTACGTAATCTGGGGTATACTACTTCTATCGTATACCATGTATATCCTTTTCTGGTTACGGACAAAAACAAATCTATATTTCGTTCATTGACCATTGATGTCAAGTACTTAGCTTGTACTTTGAATAGGACTTACTGGACGACTCTCCAAACATTTTCTAGATCCGAATAAAGGAAAATAAAATGTGTACAATGTTATTTAGTTCTATGGTGGGAGTAACTAGCTGTGCATTACTTTCTTGAATTATCAGTATAAGGTCATGGAGATGGAGTTTTTATCCAGATCGTGTACCGATCAGTGTTAAACCACCGGTGAAAACTTGGGAGCACTGGACAACCTCTTCATCCTAGTATGGGACTCCACAGCAGTGCAGATACACGATCCCGCATGTGGGTACTAAACCCAGGACCTTTGGACTTGCGAGACCACTAAGCCAGTATCCAACGGTGTTAATGTCTAACTTCAATCGACCCACGATACTACGTGGTCAGTCGAGTTCAACTGTGTCGGGTATGAGGCAGTTACCCACCGAAGACAGCAGATGGTAGCTCAATATTGTGGTCAATATCATGATCTCAACAAAAACTTTCTTCGATATTCAGTCTGTAAATCATTGATATAAATCTAAGCTTTTCTATCTAATTATTAGTTGTACATTTTAAGAATCTGTATATTAATCATAATAACATCCAGAGTAGCTGAAGTTTTCAAGATGTATGGATATTTATTGAGTGTCAGTCTATGAAATGTTTATACTCCATACACATGTTAAAAGTTCCTGACTGTATTATTAAGATGTGAATTGGGCCAATTCTAGTTATCGATATCTATGAATCAATGTTTGTTGAAACTACAAGAAATAAACTTCAAAATTCAATCATTACACTGTTCCATAGTGATTTAAACTGAAGTTCTCCGTCTTATGACTTTTCTCCCTTTCAGCTTTTATGAATCTTATCTATTACCTAAAGTAAAGCAAGATATTGAAGAAAACAAACGTTTATGTGTTCATTTATATGAAGCATTAATTGCATCTATGTTTCGACCAGAAGAGTTCGTTTCTGGTGTCTATCTACCTTGGGTTCAGGTAAATTTTTTTCCCATAATAATGTTTCTTTTTTTTAAAAAAAAAAAGAACTCAAAGTTGATGCTGTAATTCAGCGAAACAGATACTTCAGCGATTACAGTTTGTTCATAGACGTTAGTTTTTTATTATTTGCACATTCTGAGAAGCAGTAGCGTTAATACATTCACTCTTTATCTCCTCTAGATCCTGAATTACAATATTCGTTTTTACATACCTACTTTATACTGTTTTTTCGAGTCATATCTTCTTTTTTTATTCTGATTATTACTGCTGATACATTATTCTGATTCCTTTGCTAATTTTATCTCTTAGTGCCAACTTTATGTAGCAATTTGTGTTACTTCATATATACATCAAACTTTAGATTGATAGTCCTAAGCAAAGATGGATGGTGGTTAGCAGTGGGATCCAGGACGCGCGTTTCGTCAGGACTCAGTAACTATGTGGATAACAGGATGGCATTTGAAGCTAACGATACTTGGTTCGATTCCTGGAGTGAATATCAACTTTGGTATTCAGGCACATCACATCCAGGTGACAAGTCTCAAATAGAACGAAACGCGCGTCGTGGATTCCACTGATAGTCACTATCCATGTTTGCTTAGAATGAGCGTGGCAATATCGAGGCAATCCGTACAGGATGCACATGTACCAATAAGAGACTGATCAATTACAGTCCTAAACATCAATGGGAAGGTTCAAATAAACAATACAAAATAAATTTTATGGTAACTGAACTCTTATTTCTCACTCGTTTCAAAATCCTTCATAGAAATTCGGAAATACATTTCTCAAACTACGTACAAAATTGAATTTAAAGTGGAAGAATTATTGCAATCTAGTAATTGAGTCCAGATTCATGTACTGGAATCTGATCTATAGTTAACAAGAAGTTGTTGAAAATTCTCATTTCTATAGAACGGCATCACTGCGAATTTTATTCTGTTTTGAATCACCATCTATAGTCTTTTCCAATAAATCTCCACTATTTCAGAAGAAAATGTGCTTTTTAAAATTAACTTAATCACAAGTAAATGTTAATCAGGTAAGTTGTAGAAACTAAGGGTAACTAATGAATTTTTTTCCATTCTACAGTTTGTCTGTAAGACTTGTTTTCAGGTGCCATCAAGCCTCTAGAATACGTAGTGAACATATCAACTAGTGAACGTTTCGATTTTGTCTTGTAGTGAAGGTGACAAAACTCCGCCTGATGGGGACAGCGTATTCTTCAAAATAATTGCTAGCATTCGGTATCAGAAGTTATTGATTTGAAAGTAAATTTTAGAAAATAACAGATTACTTGATAACATACTTTGATGACTGAAACATTTCGCAAGTCACTGTTTAACACCGTCTAGAACAGTTCGTATTCAGTTTTCGGTTACACCGCACTAACTAACTTCGAATATCTCTATTATAGACTATTAAATATATCTGTTGTATTACAGTTTATTAGTTCGTGTTATAGGTTCTCATTGTATTTAACTTATTTCGATCCGGACACTCACTAGACTTCAAATAATATTTGTGCTTGCATATACAACTCATAACTGGTCCCTGAAATCTTTCATACCTGAATTATACTAAATATACCTAACCACGTTAAATACGCTCTCATATCAAGTGTGTCTCTTTAGGCATATTGCTTTCAGCACAAGACAATTAACTTCAATCAAAAGCTGTCGTTGCTTTCGAAGAATCTTTTTATGTAACTAATCATAAAACCGCTTATTAAAATTTATTCTGTTCTATTAAAACTGTTTTACTTATCAACAATTGGATTGATTCTTGTCACAAAACTTATAATTTTTTGAACCGATATACATTTTCTTTTTATTAATTCTTCAATTATCAATCATTTCCTCTTTGTATATCTGCTACTTATTTAGTCGGAGATTTCTAAAACTGAAGGTGTAATCCTGTCCAATCTAATTAAAAGAGCGACGTTAAAATCACGTTTTGCTGCAGTCGCTCTTGCTCTCACATTAGAAGAAGATTTCAGCATTCCTCGATCAATGGTTATTGAGACATTTTTAACTAAAAAGTATCACTTACCAGAAGCCGCTGTCCAAAGAATTATCGATTATTTCATTAGGTAAGCCGTTTAATTTTTAGTATATGTACATACTTTTCTCATCTATAGTGTGTTTTACTTTCGTAAATTTTGTGAAATAAAATACTTTTTCACTCTTATCGAATAATAACATAAGATGTTAATGCTTCCCTCGTAGTCAGTGCACTTTTCGGTATTTTGAATTTATTGAGTGGCAAAGTATATGATTACCCAAAAGTTAAGCGCTCATAATCAGACCCAATTTCGATCCCTGTTTACATTACTTACTTACTTACGCCTGTTACTCCCAATGGAGCATAGGCCGCTGACCAGCATTCTCCAACCCACTCTGTCCTGGGCCTTCTTTTCTAGTTCCATCCAGTTCTAGTTCATTTTTTTCATGTCTATCTCCGTTTCTCGGCGTAATGTGTTCTTTGGTCTTCCTCTTTTCCTTTGGCCTTGAGGATTCCATGTGAGGGCTTGTGACGCAGTTGGGTGCTTTCCTCAATGTGTGTCCTATCCACTTCCAGCGCTTCTTCCTGATTTCTACCTCTGCTGTGATCTGGTTTGTTCTCTCCCACAGTACGTTGTTGCTAATAGTGTCCGGCCAATGGATCCGAAGTATTTTGCGTAGACAACTGTTAATAAACACCTGTATTTTCTGGATGATGGCTTTCATAGTTCTCCAGGTTTCTGCCCCATACAGTAGAACTGTCTTGACATTTGTATTGAGAATCCTGACCTTGGTGTTGGTTGACAGTTGCCTTGAGTCCCATATGTTTCTAAGTTGTAAATATGCTGTTCTTGCTTTGCCGATCCGCGCCTTCACATCTGCATCAGATCCACCGTGTTCATCGATGATGCTGCCCAAATATGTAAAGGTTTTTACATCTCCCAAATCTTCTCCGTCAAGTGTGACTCGGTTGTTGCATGTTGTGTTGTATCGGAGAATCTTGCTTTTCCCTTTGTGTATGTTGAGACCTACTGCTGCTGAGGCTGCTGCTACACTGGTTGTTTTCTCCTGCATTCGTTGTTGTGTGTGCGACAGAAGGGCCAGATCATCTGCGAAGTCTAGATATTTCAGCCGCACTCTAGCTGTTCACTGTATCCCGTGTTGCCCTTCAGATATTGACGTCTTCATGATTCAGTCGATCACCAAGAGAAAGAGAAAGGGTGAGAGTAAGCAACCTTGCCTAACACCGGTCTTCACTTCGAACGACTTTGTCAACTGTCCTCCATGCACAATTTTGCAGTGTAATCCATCATATGAGTTCTGTATGATATTGACTATCTTCTGACGCACTCCGTAGTGTCGAAGGAGTTTCCATAGTGTTGTTCTGTCCACGCTATCAAATGCCTTTTCGTAGTCAATGAAGTTGATGTAGAGTGATGACTTCCATTCAAGTGATTGTTCCACAATGATCCGTAGAGTTGCGATTTGTTCTGTACACGATCTATCCTTACGGAACCCTGCCTGTTGGTCACGAAGTTGAGCGTCTACACAGTCCTTCATCCTGTTTAACAATACCCTGTTGAAGACTTTTCCCGGTATTGAGAGAAGAGTGATGCCCCTGTAGTTATCACACTTGCTGAGATCGCCTTTCTTCGGTATTTTGATCAGAAGTCCTTCTTTCCAGTCTGTTGGTACTTGTTCCTCATCCCAAATCTTATTGAAGAGAATGTGTAGTGTCCTTGTAGTTGCCGCTACGTCTGCTTTTAGTGCCTCTGCTGGAGTGTTGTCTGGTCCTGCTGCTTTGCCACTCTTGATTTGTCTGATGGCCATGCTGATTTCTTCAATTGTTGGTGGGCCAACATTGATTAGGAGGTCCGTGGGTGCTGCTTCGATGTTGGGTAAGTTCAGTGGAGCTGGTCAATTCAAGAGTTCTTTGAAGTGTTCTACCCACCTGTTTTGTTGCTCTTCAATGTTGGTGATTACCTTGCCTTCCTCGCTTTTCACTGGTCGTTCTGGTTTGCGGCGATTTCCAGAGTTTCTTTGTCGTGTCATACAATTGTCTCATGTTTCCTTCTCTTGCAGCCTTTTCCGCCGTTGTCGCTAAATCCTCCACATATTTACGTTTGTCATTTCTGATGCTCCTCTTCACTTGTTTGTTTACTTCTGTGTATTCAGCTTGTGCCTTGGCTTTTTCTGCTCTTGTTCGACTGGTATTGATTGCTGCCTTCTTGTTCCTCCTTTCTTGAATCTTATCCAGTGTATCAACCATGATCCATTCCTTATGGTGGTGCTTCTTGTGACCCAGGACCTCATGACATGTTGAAGTGATTGCCTCTTTGATCCCTTTCCAGTTGCTCTCCACAGTAATTCCTTCTCCATTGAGTAGATCATGAAAGGCCTGGAACTTGTTGCTGAGGACTATCTTGAATTTATTGAGTTTGTTAGTATCCTAAAGAAAGGCCGTATTGAACTTTTGTGATATCATCCGCCCCATTGTCCAGTGCCTCTTGAGTTTCAATTTCATCTTGGCGACCAGCAAGTGATGATCTGATGCTATATCAGCTCCTCTCTTGGTTCTCACGTCCTCTATAGTCCTCCTGAACGTTTTGTTGATGCAAATATGGTCGATTTGGTTTTGCGTGGTGTGATCCGGTGAAGTCCATGTGGTTTTGTGTATGCGTTTATGTGGGAATATGGTGCCGCCTATGACCAGTTTATTGAAGGCACATAGGTTTGCAAATCTCTCACCATTTTCGTTCCTTTCTTCCAGTCCGTGTCGTCCCATGATATCTTCATATCCAGTGTTGTCCGTTCCAACCTTGGCATTGAAATCTCCCATCAGAATGGTCAGGTCCTTTGTTGGGCACTTCTCGATGATTGACTGCAGCCTATCGTAAAATTGATCTTTAGCGTCTTAATTGTAGTTGTTGGTAGGCGCATAGCATTGGATGATGTTCATTGAAATGCCCTCTTTCTTTGTTTTGAAGGAGGCTTTGATGATCCTTGGTCCATGAGATTCCCATCCTATAAGTGCATTTTGTGCTTGTTTGGACAGCATCAATGCAACTCCTTGTGTATGTGGGGCATTTTCTTCTTCATGGTCGGAGTATAACAGGAGTTTTCCTGAAGTTAGTCGTTGTTGTCCAACTTGCGTCCGATGTGTTTCACTGATCCCAAGCACCTTTAGATTGTATCTTCTCATTTCTGTAGCAATTTGGAAGACTCTCCCGGTGTCCCACATTATACGAACATTCCATGTACCTAAATAAATGGTCACTCTGGTTGTCAGAAGAAGCATCGACCTCGTAACTTCCGAAGGAATTCGGCTTTCATCATGAGGCGTCATAGTTCTTCTAAATAAAGACCTTCTGACTCCCAGGGCAGAGTTTATAAGGTTTGAATAATTTTTTCTGGTTAGCGTTTTTTTAGCGAGTTAGTTTTCTACGGGATGGGGACGCTAACCCCATGCCAAACTCTCCTCCTTTATCCGGGTTTGGGACCAGCAGTAGCCCCCGCAGGGACTCCAGGCGGAGTTCCCTGTTTATATCATTGTTAGATATCCTTACTAGAACGAAACAGCTATCCACTACACTTTAGTTTCTGATGTTATCCTAGCAGATAGCAATATGTGATAAAAACCGCCTGTAAATTCAAAGATTTGTTTTATAATTGTTTTATAATTCAAAACATTTTAAAAACCCACTACTTTCCACCTGCATTAAATCATTAAAGTTTTGCACGAGTTAAATAATACCACAACTATTTTTCCAACCATCATTTATATGAATTATTTCAACTTCGATATTTTTGTCTCTCCTTTTGTCAAAGGATAGACAGAACGTAAAATGTGCCGTGAATTGGTGTTTTTTTTGTGAATTTTCCAGTGTTTATTATCATAAAAACATTTTTCTCATAGCGCAGGAATGCATACAGTTAACATTCATAATATTTTCAAATATAAAACAATTAGTTTAATCGCAATATTTTCACAGTTTTGAAAATAGACAACAGGTAGGCAGGTTGATCTTTTCGTTTTTACAATAGTTCTTGTTTTATGGTGATGGTGAGTTATAGCCATTTATTAAGTTACTTCAAGATTAAAATAAGTAAACAAATATAACTTTTTGTCAAAAGTGCAATTAGTTTTGTTCGCCGACGATAATCTCACAATAATTTCTTATTCTAAATAGTGATTTAATTATTGGATTAAATAAAATGATCACCTTTTTTATTTCTAGACTGGTTGTATGAATGCTTGAATTTTACCTTTGATTATATTCGTATAGTCTTGGGATAGTCGTTAGTTTCAGTGTACATTTTTTCAAACTGTCAATGTTCTTGCATACTGCACTGAAACTTACTGTTACGTTGTTACTTCAAATTTCGACAAATTTAATAATCAAACAAAAGCTACTTTTATGATTCCACTAGTATTCACCACCATTATTAGTATTAAAAAGAAACTCAACTAATAATTATACTTTGATACATGTTAACGTATGAATATTTCAGTATAGATTTATAAGAAAGTAATTTAAAAATTTGTATAAACTTTTTATTCAGTCGTGGTTTGTGAAGGGATATAAAGTGAGTTTTTCTATACTGTAGTGCGAAGGAAAGCGACAGAGGACTAGTATCACTGTCGTAAAAATCGCTTGACCTTGGAATGCATAGATGGTTATCTAGTTATAACCATGCAAGTCGTTCGTGGATCCTTTTCCCCTCTTAGTTTATAGTAAATTATTGGCTCAAAGGATTTTACCTTAATGTTCGGTTTATGTTTTTAGTGGTGATATGAATGTTCATTATTTTATATGTATAGTTAAAATGAGGTAAAAGATTGTTTGATCACTACCCGTTACAAAAATGTGTTGTTGTAATGATCTCTAAATTGTACTTGCTTTTATGCATATCTTCAGTATTATCAATGAATTGTCATATCGGTTTTATAACCTAAATTACTTTTATACCTTTTCCATTTTAGTTTTGATAAAGATTGCACTGTTTACTTCACCGATGAGAAGCGTATGCCGCTGACCTGGTTCAAAAGCTTATTGGTATTTTTGGAGTTTTATAGGCATTGTGTTAACCCGTCTCAGCGTGAAAAGTTACTTAAATTATGTCGCCGTCATGAACATCCACAAATAACACCAGAAATTAGAAGCTTGCTGGGAACTATTTCACCTAACTAACATAATTTTTAACATCAAATTGTTTTGTAAATACATTTAATTTGATAAAATATTGACAGATTCTGTTCTAGTAGTCTGTTGTCTTTACCTCTGTGGTTGTCTTCAAGATTCATCTTACAATACAGGTTAATTTAGGTGTTTCTACAAAGTTTGACTGTTTAGTATGTTTTTCTAACTGCTAAGTTTGTCTTTATGCAATCTAAAATGACGTAAGTTGGCCCATTTTTATACTTATCTATATTGCTTCAAAGTTATGTACTTATAAGCTAGAAGTCGGTTAGGTCACCATTGTGGTTTATTGCTTCGAATACACTAGACAGCTCATTACAGACCTAAAATTAATTGGCTGTAAGGTAGGTATAAAAGTGAATAAAGATCACTATAATTGGGAATTAGAATGAAATACATAGGTGTTGGGTATATTTGATTCTCCCTGGCATATGATCATGTTCTCTTTCTGCAGAAGATTAAGGTGACGATTTATGTAGGCTACGTTGAAGCAGTGAATTCTGAATAAGTAGATGGTCGTTCGTCTTCTGGAATACAAGGAGACGGAGTGATACATCTGAGGGTTGAACTCTTAACCGTTACTTTTCGTGTTTTTGCAGTCACACTGGGTAGTTCTGAGGTGCTTTGGTGTCCTCTTTAAGTTAAACGACTGTCAAGTCTGATCACAAAAGCAGTGGGAGGCTTATATCTCTGAAGGTTCAACATTTTGTGACTTGGGAACTGATATTAACATGTGCTTTCAATAGATGAACTTATGGGCGTCGATAAAGAGTTTGTTTATGTCATTTGGATAGCAATTGAAACCCTTTATGATTAGAAAGATTACCCAGCTGTAGTAACATTACGTCGAGCTCTTGTGGTTTCCCAACTTGGTAGTCGTACTGCCTTGCTTTCTTAGCAACTTTGGAGAACAATAAATGTTGACGGAATAGTGTTTACTTATGAAAAAATAAAACTAGCGACAAGGCTGCTAATCTCATGAGTTCGAATAATCTATCTGTGTTGGTTATCCTTGATATTGATTAGACTGAATTAACATTTAGTGCCAATAAATTGTTATTTAGTTCTAGCCAGATCATCAATCAGACAGATCAATGGATGTTGAGTTGTTTGTTGAACCTATCAAGGTCAACTAATCAACTGCATGCCATGGACCGGTTCATGTGACAGCGGGTCGAATATGTGCTTCTTCAATATTTTCCTATTATACATTGTTTTTGGTGAAACTGCATTTTACTATGCCGTCATCACTGCAGTCTCAGTATGTGGATACTAAGACAGTATAATCTGGGTTATATGTGTCAACCATGAGGTGTAACTTTGAGATAAGCGAGGATACATCATTTTCGTTCTAACCCACTAAAACCTGACCATCCATGACGGCTACCTAAACTAGTGATCTGCACTGGTTACATACTAACTACTTATCACAGAGTGGTAACTCTCTAATGTGAATAGGGTTACATTTATTTCGACAGATTATTTGGCTAGGGTTCGGTTTTACTTAACTAGGTCAATATACTTAAGAAAAGACCAAGGGAATGCCGCACATTATCTTAAAGGCTTTCTTAACAAATAGGAAAAGTACTCATAGTAGTTGGATCTATTATGGCTTTTGTAAATTTCTCGAATTCGTTTGAATCCAATGACTTTGTATGAACCGGTTTATTTCTTTGCGCTCCCTCGTTTTTTCTGTACGGTACCATGTATTTGGTTGTGATCAGTGAGTCTGATAATGGCCGCCCACTCAATTGGAACTCAAATGTTTTGCGTGGTAACTTAAACAATCTCATGTCGAAGACATGTCATAAAATGATTGTTTAGCCTGTTCTAGCCTGACATGATGGACAGGCTAACCTGTTTCCATAGCGCATTATAAACAAGGACAGGACATAAAATTGAGAATAGAGAGAACGAACTTATCGATTTACTAATCTATCAGCCTACTGATGTCTTCGATATACCGATTTACTGAATTGCGAGTTATTCGTCTTTTGAGTAATATATTTGTTGATGTGTTCGTTATGTTAACGATTCGAGTTTTTTTAAGTAGGTTATTTTGTGTGTGTGGGCCTTCGTTTGTGCTGAGACGGTGCCACTAAATTTAAAGAATAACCAGACCTATGGACAGTTTTATATTGTGCAATTGCTTACTACTTGTTTTTTCATCAACAGTTGTGTACCTAGTCCTCCATTTCCGTCCAAAATTTTAGGTTCTCTGTAATCTTCTGTGCAAATTTCATAGCTCATATGTTATTTGTCAACGAAACTCCCGTAAACTGAAGGACAACAGTTTGGTTACTAGGTGTTACTATGGGAACATAAAAATGCCTATAAAGTATACACATTTTACAAATATCTGACTATTTACGAGACCACTCACCTTACATTTAGGTTTATGCCTATCTTTATCGAGAAGGGATGGGAGAAACAACAATTAGGAGTAAAAACGTTATTTATCATCAACATTCACTTGAAGATTTTCCGTTCTCGATCCACAATAGATGGTATAAAGCCCAAATCCTTGGAGTATCAGATACACATATTAGAGGCTCTAACTGTCGCCTAGGAACAGAGCTTATCAACAATACCTCAGACGTCATGGGGAGGTTCACTGTTTCTGAAACTAAAATCTCACCAATGGGTATCCAAGAGGTCGACTTATATGATCTTCTAAACCTAAGCGTATTGAACACCTAGACAGGCGGACCGAACACAACGAAAACACCCCAAAATAGGTGAAACCTATGTAGTCTAATATATGAAAGACCAGATACCTTAATAATAAGGTCTTTAAAACGCCAAACAGATAATGAGAACAACATCATACCAAAGCTAGTTAAGACAACTACCAGAATGGCTACCGAACACAATAAAATACGACTTATATACCTGGATGATCACAGCACCAAAATAATGGTAATATGACACATTACATCTGAATGCACTGACAAAAATTTCAAGAGAATATTGGGGCCTTCGAAGAAGTGGATAAACATTTGATAAATGATAGAAAACAAAAAGACCAATTTTGAACTTCCAAGGATGCCACAAATATATCTTCGCGGAATTTACAGAACATCGGGATGGCCCAAAAATATACCGATTCATATCATCCCCATATAACATAAGTTTCGTCCAACACCTAACCATAGACACTAGACGTAAACACAAGTCAAACAACCTAAAGAGCTCAGACATAATCAGTGCCAACAATTACCTACAGAAGTGCCTATATGTCGGCTGTTAGAAGGACAATGAATCACTGCCATGTGGTTCATAGATGGTAGATCATAACATGACAGGAAATAAGACAAAAATCGCCAGACCAAACTCTTGTCCATGAGAGCCAACCGGCCTCACCAGCTACTTCGGCTGGAAAGGGAGCCAGAAGGAATTACTTTTGGTGTGAAATGAATAAAACGGTGGCCAAGCTACTAAATAAGCCACTCCTTCCGCGTATAGCAATAAATTTGCATTACCTATTCCTGATTTTGGTGAAACTTGGGTCATAATTCATCCAGTGGTGAATCTGTTGTATCGATGTCTAGGTTAGCATTACTGACGTCTACGCCAGTAAACTAATGAACCGGGTCAAAAATGAAGGAGTTGCCATGACTGGACTACCTGATATATCAGACATTACGTGCAAATCACATCAATATGTTTGCTGACTAATCCTATTGTGACAGTCAGTGATTGCTGCAAAGAAATATTGGAGAAAATATGTTGGATGGGGATTGTAACATGAGATTACATAGGGCTGTAGACTTATGGTCTACTGCGTTATTCATGACGCTCTAGTAATTAACCTATTTCTGAAATTTTCGATCTGTCATGATGTAACCGCCTAATCTATGAGATATTCGTGAAAGCCAAATCATTGTATACACTGACTCATAGCATTATAACAATTAACAACATGATGTCTGAAGTTTGTAAAGAACACATTTAGGCCATGGATAGAATAATATATATAATGTGAGTAAAGACAAGCTGTACGGAATCAACACGTCTGCGAGGTCGAGTCATTCCATGCAATTGAATTCATCCTTGCTTAGCACCTCCCCCATTGCTGGCCTTCTCTACCTGTCAATTGTTGAATATAAATCTTTTCAGTAATTATATGCTCGGCTTCAAAGATCATGTGGTTAGGGCCAAATGTCACTACAGGGTGACTGCATGTAGATGGTTGAGTCATGTTGTCTCAATTAAACCAATCCGCGTTAGCTATCTCCAACCTACTATAGGTGATCAATGTTCACATTAAGTCTTTTAAGTTATCTTACGTTAGACGCCAATGGTTGTGTGGTTGTGAAATAATGCTACTACAAACTTTCCACTAAATTATGGATATGTTCAGCTTGACACGTAATTTTACTAAATTTCAGTGATATCCCGTAATCCCACATGACTAAATATGCCACGGATATTCAGGGCTTCATAATGCTTTCGTCCGTAACAGATTCCAAGTCAAGAAGTTATAAACCCGGTGAAATCGGAGGACAAGGATGAATGAATCTGAAGATTTATTATAAAAGTTATCGATGTGTTGATAGGCATTCAGTCGGAGGTGGCAAGTTGTTGCAAGCGATCAGTAGTGCGGTGTACGCAATGATGATCTGGTGCGGACGCATGACCCGGCTACTTCAGATTGAGTGTGTCTAGCAAAATCAGTAAGATCCGCATCAATGTTTTAGACCAGCGGAATTATTAGTTTTAGGGATTTATTTACTTCTACATACATAGCATTTTACTCTCGCTTCTTTGCAATGCGCCATTTAAATTGCATTTTTAAAAAATAGTTTACTTAGAATATCTATCGTTCAGTAAAGAAATTATTAATTAAATAGTCTCTTTCATACTTATGAGGTTGCCTTTATAACACTCTTGAATTTAATTCGAAATACGTCTTCCATTTTTACTTCATAACGATCAATAGCTTAAACACTTGTAATTCACCTTTCTTCAGATAGTATGAAGAAAACCTTCACAGTATCTTGTAAATATCCTTGACCAAACACGCTATTAATTGTCTCTCTTTTGCGAACGAAAAACATACGATGAGATGTGGAGAATCTTAAAAGCCTTGTGGGGGATATTGTATAGTCAAGTGCTCTTTTAAATTCACATATTCTGTTCAAGCTTCTGGACAAACCGATGTATTCATTTTCTTGAGTCACATTTTGACCTTGTTAATTAGATTCACATTTGTGTTGTAAGAACAGAAGGCATACGGCCTATGTTATTCCTTTACTAGTGTGTTTCTGTAAATTTTCAGTGTTCTCTTGAAAGAGTCAATTAAAGGTGCGGACACCACTGTTTCGAACAGCAGGTCCCAAGTATTGATAACCAGAAGGGGCCTGGATGTTTGAAACTCACCTCAACTTTGAATATTGAATCACGAATGACTTTTGGCGCAATGACTACATCTAACCTCCATAACTATGATTTTTACCCTAAAAGAAAATCAATTGTCTGTTATCTGTCAAATCACTTCGTAAAATTGCAACATATAGGTTGACTTGCTCACCTGAGCCATAACAAAGACTTTTAACCTTTGTTGAATATTATGATGCGAGCCCAAAATAATCAATTGGTGGTTAACGTAAAGACCATCAATATGTTGAAGACAGGTAGTCCAGGAATGCTGAATACTCATTTTTGGCACCGCTCGTCACGGTGGGATTTTCAAGGTTGACACACGTTCCAATGGTCGTTTTTGGCGGGCTTGTTTTCACAGTCGGCATTCTTTTGTCTGCTTTATTTATTATCTGGAAATTGTATAATAAGTCAGTTAAAAGAGGTAATATTTCTTCCATACAAAATTCCTGCGAACAGCATTTTAAACGGGATTCTATACTGAGAAGACATACGGTGATATTTGATAACTACGTATATATATATATATATATATATATATATATATATATATATATATATATATAATCAGATAACACCATACGTTTTAATATCGTGTCTATATATATCATATTTTGTAATAATAGTGGCATTGCTTATTATTATTATATTATTATCATTATATTATCTGTTGTATCAAGTGGATTAACATGAAATGACGTTTCGACACTATATCTCCATGTCCTGCAAATTTGAACGGGTCTAGTGCTATATGAATTCATAATCGAAAACAATATTACTCTTAATAGGCCTGGGTAATGTCAGGGTTTCTTAGAAAGCTTGACCGCTAGTTTGCAAAAGTGTGTTGTTTGTTCTTTTGCAAGAAACGGGCCTAACTGCTTGGTAAAATTAGCATTTTCAATATTTACATCTATGCAGGTTTTATTTTGATATGAAGTTCCCAAAAAACGGAAGATACTAGGGGAACTTGAGAGAAGTCGGTGTAAATGTAGGTGACAAAGCACTTAACTGTCGCCGTTCTCTGTAGACTTTTCTTACATATTTGTTATGAATTAAGGTAAAACTTACAGTGATATTACAGAGAGGTAATGCCTGTGTCTAAAAACCGGGAACAAATTAACAGCGAATTTGTTGCATTACCTTTCCCATTACAACGCTTACTCACTACTTGTCATGTCGGTAAGTAACTATGCGGTATCGTAAACTTTGGCATGATCTTTTTCACATATATTGAACGATAATCATTTAGCTGTTAATAAACCTTGTGAATGAGAAACAAAAAAGTATAGTCTTACTGATACTGTTGTGGGATCTAAGCTTAGTGATACTCCACTTTGCGGCAATCCCCATCAACGATAACTTTATGGTCAAGTGCGGTTTTATTATGTTCGGTAACATTAATCTTCTGGACGTTCTCAACTGGTTGTCTACCAGCCTGTCTATCACTGCCGTCTAAAATACGAAATTACTCATTTTACTAATGCCTCCAATTCCTCTTCGATTGATAATGGGAACTGTTAGCTAAATGGCCCATCGCCAAGTTTATTTTTGACTGATGATCAAACATAGTGACAACATTTGCTTTATTCTCCGTCACATCAGTAGCATTGGCTGACAGTTTAGCTATGTTTACATTTATTTCTGGTAGTCTAAAAGATTAAAAAGTATTTCAAACCAAACTTATCCCAATTCGCTCTGTTACCTCGAGTCGAAGTTCCTGATGATGGCAATAACTAACTGCTTGAACTATTCCGTGCAAATTTGTAGGGATAACAGGTCTATTTTGCAATTAGGGAACTCGGGGTTTTTAGCAGCTTAATTCTCGGATATTTCACCTGGCTGTACCCAGTCTGCATTTCTGTTATATCTAAGTCGACAGAATCATACAAGTTACTACAACTTCCAACCTAAGGGACAGACAAGAGGGAATGTCTGTCAGGCTGATTCAAATAATTCTGTTAGTTAACACAAACAACATGCTTTAGTAGTGCTTGAAATGTAGTAACCTCCAGTAGCCACACCATCTCAAGGCTTCTGAACAATTGTAGGCAAATAAAAATCAATTAGTAACTTGTTCAATTAGGAATTAGTGAATTCAAAATCAGTTCCATTAAATTCTTCAACCATAAAGGAGCAGGAAAATGTCCTAATCATAGAGTTTGTGAAGGATGAAGGTATTAAAACTAAGAAACTTAGTTCCACCTTGAATTCACTGCGAAAGTACTTTCTGCGCTCGCCTATCAGCTTGAGAAGTGTGTTGAGAACGTGTAAAATGTCCAGCCGATGTTTACTAGCAGTGGTGTTTACTATCACATCAGATTACAGACAAATCCACCAAGATGTGTCGAACTATATCCTCAAAGCCTTTTTTTTCTATCATCACTAATGCTGTTGCTACCTCTATTACTCTGGGATTTTTCTTGACGATTTCATCTTACCGTGCTAGTAGGGTGTCGCGGCTTTAATTAGTGTATACTTGTGACAGGTTCTACGTTGCGTATGACCGATTAATGTTGTTTTCTACTTTCGTCTAATTTCGTTTATCCACGTCTCAAAATCTGTGGAATTTTAAGTTTCGAAAAATCGTTTTCCATGTTCTCTGGAACAATTGTGTTTATTAAAAATACTCTCTCCTTTAAGGTGGACAGCGCCCACACGTACATCCAGCTGCTGCTGGCAGAGTACGTCGTCGCATTGGAAATGTAGGTGGACAGCGCCGTTTGGCTGCTCGGATGAGAGATGCTTCAGAATCTGAGGAGGACGATAGGCGTGTTAGAAATGTCATGGAAAATGTAGACATCCAGCCTTCAGATACAGATCATCCAAAAGAAAGTTCAAAGAAAGTTGGCTCCAAAAAAGCTGCCAAGTTAGCTGAAAAGGAACGTCGAAAGGAAGAGCGAGAAGCTGAGGAACGTTACAGGGAGCACCAAAGGAAAATCGAAGACATGGAAATTGAAAAACGTAAGAAAGCAGAAGAAGCAGAAGAAAAAGCTGCAGCAGCTGCAGTAAGTTATTTTCCATGATCGCACATTAACCTTCGTGTCTACTAGCTAGCTTAGTTCATTTGTTTACGTGTGATGCAAAATTTAGCTCTCCTTATCATTTTGTTTGCTTAATGTAACATCTGAACATTTCATAAAAAGACTACTAATTTCAGAAAATATAAATAAATATGTACTCCACTCTGTAAATAAACAGACAAATTAAAAAAGCATATTCAATCCGGTTGATCATTAACCACGTTAGTATAATCTATGACCATGAAGCTGAAAGTTAATTATGCTAAAAATTTAGTTAGAAGTAAATTTATATTGGCCAACTGTATTATGTTTTCTTAACCCAGGTACACAAAATTGTTTTGATTGCTCAATAACAGTCAAGTATGTATTTGTAGAATATATTTTTTCTATTACCATTTATAATTTTGGGCTATTGTTTAGTTTTCATCACATTTTGTTGTACTATTTAAGATTCTTACATAAAATTTACTTTTAATTGCAGGCTGCTGCTGAAGCTAAACGTCGTGAAGAAGAGGCAGCTCGTGAACAAGCTGAATATGAGCGCTTAAAACAAGAGTTTAGTATTGAAGAAGAAGGAGTAGATGTACAACAACAAGATGACAAAGCAAAAGCAATGATTAATGCACAAATTATTGCAGCTATTGAAGAAGCAAAAATTATTCCAGTCGAACATTTGGCAATCAATTTGAATTTGAAGACAGAGGTATATTTTTCTTCTTACAGAATATCGTTGAAATCGACATTTTTTGGAATCGCTCGTTTAGTGGTTGAAACAGTTAGGTTTTACTCTTTAAGTCTTAGGTTTGAACTCTGTTTCTTGTACTTCAGTTAAGCAAACTGTATAAAATCGTTGAGCTTTACGGTAAAAGCATGGTTTAAAATCAAATACACGGATACGTGCTCAATAAATTACACTATTAATAATCAGAAAGTCTTGGCAGTAGAGGACTTGAAATCAGTCATCTCTGTTCGACGCAATTCTAAAAATCACTTAATATGTCATCAACTGTTCTTTTTTATTCTCTTCTTTCGCGATAAATATGTTGAATATATCTCCACTAAAGTTTATTATTTTATTTGAACACATAAGTATTGTTACAAGGGGGCACCAGATATATATGCGCCACACCAAGAATAGTATTTTCAGTAAATATCGTCATTCCATTCTGTTTGTATGTGGGCTGTAATACTGCCCGGGTGCCCAGATCGGAGCAGGTGGTTTTCTTAGGGGGCCACACCGAGCCGTTGACCTAAAGGTCTGACCCACAAGGCAGTGGAGCGTCGGGAGGAGATACAGTCTCATGGTAGCCGGTGGCCAACAATTGGTTAATATGCCATTTGTTCCTTCAGGATTCTGGAGCTCATGTGCACGATTGGTTTGGAATCAGGGTTTTCCAACTCCCCTAGATGGATTCACTGTGTCCACCGGCCCGGTTAAAGCGCCGGACATTCGCTTTTCGTCCTCTCAATTTCATAAACAACACCCCCGCCAAGAGAAGGCAGTGAGTAGGACTTCCCTGGAAGAGGCTATATAAGCGTAGCCGTGTGAGAGCATTTCGAGAGGGAGGGCGGGCTCTCCCCACTCTCGGCCATACCAGGGCATTCGGGGGCCCACTAAAGTTGGATTTTGGCTAGCAGAGTAATCCAATCTTACCAAAACAATGTGGCAATCGGCTAGTAATGGATATGTGCCAATAAAGCCTGATCTATCATAGTCCTAACTATAAAAGATATGAAAATGTAAACCCTTAAACTAATGTCTTTAGATGCGAATAAAACAGATTTCATTCAGTTAAAATATGCATTTTATTGTTTAAAAAATTGGTGAAAAATTAAAATAGGATCGCCACAGATCTTTATTCTAAGAAATGTTTGATTATATCTAGAGCTCCAGGCTGAGTAATCCTTAAGAACAGTAAATGGTAATCTAGTTCATTTATGCTTAATTTTACTAACTGATCACCTATTTTCTAAAACTTATCCTCAGCATGAGAAAACAATGAGGGGTTTACGAGACGCTAGAACGACACAGTAAACAGAACAAAGCCACCGTTATTTACGCTTGAGGCTAGTAATACTTGCTGATTAATGGATACTGATCTACAACGCGCGTTACGGGAAGTCGGAATCACTTGGTATTGAATGGAAGCTATCATTTCGAGATAGTGATGATCAGATATAAGAGGTTGTCGGACATCAGCTCAGTGAAGTTATCTTTCATTAGGATTATAAACCTAATCTTTCATAGCCTCATTAACGGTGAGAGGTTTCCAGATTAGAATAAGCTTCTCTGGTTTTCATTGTATGTAAATCAGTCTTTTTTAGCTCACTGTCATCAACTACTTTGATATATGAAGTCATCAACTGTTCCCAACAGCTCACCAGAAAGAGAAAGTTCTAGCATAGATTTTTGCCACTTTTGTAGAAGCAGAAGCTCAATTCACATTTTAAACGATCTGACCATTCACAAAACCATTTTATTTGAAAATATATATTAACGATAGAAAATGAGGTTGGGAAAAATCAAGAGATTTTGAAGTATTTCAGTTTTGTAATTGTGTCTTCTCTATAGTATCTTCGAGGTCCCTAACACTGTTTTCTCAAAACCTTGTTATCCTTAATTTTATTCTCTCAGTTTCGTCTTTCTGTTCTTTTAACAGTCGTCTTATCATTTCACACTTTTTATATATTGTCCTAATGTTTTAATATTATATATGACAATCAATATTTGTCTTTGCTGGGTGTTACGTAACTATTGTCCGTTATAAACTGTGGAGTTTAAACTCCATTATTTTCTATTACAAAATGTTATATAATAAAATTTAACTTTCATAAGCTTACTACCTGTGTTTTCAGGTATATGCACAATACAGACAAATAATCATACGAAGAGCTTGTCTTATTTCATCCATAAAGGCTTAGAATTATATGTTGTGTACTGTTGCCTAACATTCCATTTGTTGGTTAATATGATAGTGAAATGGTTTTCATATAGTCACAGTAGTTTGTCTAATTTTCACTATATATCATTACATGTTGTTCGAATATTTATTTAATCCTCGATTGGTTATATTTTATTACCTTTGTTGTGTGTTTTGAGTGGTTAAGCTATTGTAAGTGGATATTTATAATTTTTAAAGTTCTCTTGATAATTTGTTAGCTAAATGATTATATTTTAAACGATAAGTTTTATTTTAATAGCTTAAGCTCGCTAGTCATGCATAATGAAGCCGGTAGCAGTTTTACATGAATGTATAAATCCCGGTCACTGTAAGTGTCATTAACATACAGCTAAATAATCATGAACCTTTTAGGAATTCTGCATTAGTTTTTATCATTCCGTAATTTTATTTTTCTTGTAAAGGTTTGTATAGAAAAGGTCAAAGCACTTATGTCTTCTGGTCGGTTAACTGGGGTATTGGATGATCGAGGCAAAGTTATTCATATTACAAATGATGAATATGAAGCCGTTGCTCAGTATATTGAAAAATGTGGTCGTGTCACTTTATCAGAATTAGTTGAGAATGGGCATAAGTTAATTAGAACTGGACCAAATACTTCAAGAGGATAACTTTATCCTAATAAATAATGTAAACTTGTTTATTTTAGTCTTTTTTCACTCCCTACTTTGGTTACTATTGTTTATGTACAGTTGTTTCCTTACCAATTTTACAACATAATATATTACTTGATACTATTGTTACTAGTACTAGTGGTAATCATATGTGATAACGGTTTTCAATGTTATTGTTTGTGTTGCAAAAAATACCTTTTCAACTTCGAGATTATTATAAAATGGTATATGTTATTTTGAGGTTATGTTTTATTCACTTTATTTGACGAATTCTTAATTTACAAACAATGTAATTATTCCAATGCAAATATATGCACCTTGAATATGACCGATGACTATTGTGTATTGTTTTTCTTTCAAGGTAGTCAAGTAAAGTGCTGTAAGAAATAAGAGAAGATACAGTAAATTTCACTTTTCAAATCATGCCCTTTTCCCTCATTTTCATACGACATTCCAATGAGTGACAGAAACCACAACAAATGATAATATATGACCTTTGATTGCAAAGAGAACTTTATTTAATGATTAAACGATGCCTTTCGTCTTTTTATTCCCCAGAAAATGTGGGACGATGGTTTAGGGAATAAATCATTCTACTCTCAAGCAATAGGTTGCATGTTTGAAACCTAACCTTGCTTTGGTTTTGACAACTGGATAGTATCACTACCCTTCATATACAAACAGTATGGACCAAAGTTGATAAATAAATCTATATTTTTACACTTTAGCCACCACATTACAGAATGTGAGTAGTTTGTAAAAAACTGAACAAGCCACTTTTGGAATCACAAGAGTTAGCACTAACATAATATTTCGCTGATTACAATTGTTGTTTTTTTACCTATGTTTCTAAGCTTCGGAAAACAAGTAATATTTCAGAATCTGTATTGTCCATTTATCTATGACTGATAATTGGGTTCTCTTAGTATTATTGAATATTCGGTAACTAAACACCGTAACTAGCTTTAATCACATTGATGATCAGAGATAGAAATAAGTATGCATATTTAACTCCGTTCATACACTAAATATCCCATCACTATTATATGACTCCATTGCATGTCAGACGACAAAAGAATTATCGAGATAAATCAAATCGTAATTCTTCATACCGGTCTGTAGTAAAACAAACAATATACTCACTTTTTAGTGAAAATAAATATACTAACAATGTCAGTATAATTATTGAAACCATGTGCAGTAAAAATCTAACATTTATGCTGGGTACATATGTATGTAGAAAATAATTCAATGTTTGGGATTAACATTCCATCAGAATGTAAACATATAACTGACTGGAGATCTAAGTGGTCAGAAATAAAATTGAAACGGGAATGTAAAGCAATTCTAATATTACGTTTTTTTATAAACCATCACATGGTATATTCAGAAAAAAGAGGTGAGTACATACAGAATTATCAAAATTTTAGTATGGTCATCCAATCGTTAGTGAGGAATGAATAGGTAACAAAAAATGAGTAGTATGTGAATTCTTAGTTTTGATTAATAGTGGTAAGGTTAGGGATTATCGTAAGTCTAAGTATCAGGGAAAAGTCAAATGGACCGAACACTTCTGTAACATTATCTATGCAATTATCTAGTACATTAGATAGTATATATTATCCAACGTGGGTATAATTGGCATGCATATTTGAGATAGACATGCTATTGAATTTGGGATCTGAAATGGAAAACAAACAGTGAGTAGGTAGTTTTACGGTTGGCAAAACTAGGTGCTAATTATAATGAACTGTCGTAATTTGGAAGATTGCTGAAAATCGAGGAGTAGTCGACTGCTAATTTTAGTCTATACCCCTTCGATATCGACGATTATACATAACGTGGGTGCTAGGGTTTCAGGTATTGGGATGTGCGTGATCCTATTTCTCACTTTAATGGTTGTCAGATTTCGACTGGTCGAATCATATTTGTAATAACATGTAGTCTTGGATTCAATTCTGTATAGTACCGAGTGGAATCTTCAAATAAGATGAGACAGTAGGTTAGTGTTTTCTAGCTCTCGGTGGTTCTCCAACTCTTATTGGTAACATCAATTCTTGATGGAAAGAACCTAGAAATACAAGCCTACAAAATTACTCAACTTTTAATAAAGAGTATTTACTATGTAATATTCAATTGGAGATATAAAATATTTAGCTAAGATATTAAGGATCTAATTCTGACGCTATATATTTACTGTCGATATTATTCACTTGATCATAGGTTAATGTAGCATCACAATCAATAGGATAATTAGATAAATACAATTAAGCTTTTGTCAAACAGCTGGGAAACGCCCATAGGATGAACTGATTTCGTATTTGTGAGACTAGTTTAAAATGTTCTGTTCTTTCAACGGCAGATAAGATTTATCAATGATGAAAATTTTACGATTTAACCATATACATAAGATAATTCAATATTACAAAATATAGCAATTTAATCAATTGTGACTATTCTGCTCAATTTCCTACACGATGTAAGAAAAATAGTGTGTTGCTGAGCTATATATACACAGATATATAACAATAAAACACTAGGAAGCTTCAATTATCATAAAATAATATAAACAATAAAAAATTAAAGTGGGATAAAAAGTTTTTATTACTTTTAACGGTTGCCGATTGTTCCAAGTGAAAATTTATCATCATTGTGTGGATTTATGGAGATCGCAGTATATTCACAATGGAATTCATGAGTCGATTAAAGCTAGACCACCATTGTAAACCTGGAAGCACTGAACGGCCGTTTCGTCTCAGTATGGGACGCCTCAGCAATGTGCATCTACGATTCCACACATAGGATTTGAAACCAGGAACTTCGGTCTCACGTGCGAACGCTTAACCTTTAGACCACTGTGTCGGCATCCGACGGTGTTAATATCTAACTTCAACTAATCCACGAAATTGTACCACCGTCCACTATTGTCTTCAGTGAGTTATTGCCTCATAACCGACACGGTTGAACTCTTCTGATCACGAATTCTCATTAGAATTCCAGGAAATGCCTCTTGAAGTCAGTCACTAGTGAGCACAATTTCGTGGGTTAGTTGAAGTTGGACAATAACACCGTTGGATGCCGAGTCACTGGTCTACAGGTTAAGCGTTCGCACGTGAGACCGAAGTTCCTGGGTTCAAATCCCATGTGTGGAATCGTAGATGCACATTGCTGAGGAGTCCCATACTGAGACGAAACGGCCGTTCAGTGCTTCCAGGTTTTCAATGGTGGTCTAGCTTTAATCGACTAATGAATTCAACTATTAGACATTTGTTTTGTTGAATGATTTATGAAAACTTGTTTAATTTGAAAATGATTTCATTATGTAATCACTTCAACATCAAAATACTTAAAATAAGGATGGAATAGGATAGGCAAGTTATATGTCTGATTTTGTTTAGAGTCAATGTGGATGGGCATTACTGTGTAGATCTCCACACCAACACAAACCAGCTACCATGTGTTTCATGACTTTTATTGATTTTGTAGCTGATAACTATCTACAGAAAAATTATTTTCATATTTTTTTTAATTAGTATATTTTCAAACAAAATACCGTAGAATTATGAGCAAAAATGGTTGCTATGCGATTTGTATTTTAACACAACTAAATATCAGATAATTATGTGAATAACAATACATAGATCATTAGCATTATTATTATTATTATTATATCGTACATGACAATTACACAATTATTCGTTCATTGAACTATTAGTTAAGTTCATAGAGATGATTTTATTTTCTGATTCACTCATTCAAATATATAATTCTCAAAAATGTTTAATTCATGTTATATGGTGAATATCTTAGTAATCATTTAAAATTTGATTAGACCAATGAATGTATAACTAAGGTATATATCATTAAGGTTCAGTATCTGAAACACAACTCATATGAATGAAGAATATTCTTTTCAATGAATTTCTCATCACATATTCTACAATTATCTCATATCCATATTAATAATCCATAAAATTGACCAGATTGAAGGCAGGGTACATCATTTGGAAATTGTAATATGTGAATCAAGAATTGTTGTTTGTCATATATCAGATCAAATCAAATCGAGTCGTTCATGTTGGAGCTGACTAATATAAAGTTGTTGACTTGAATCAGTTTATAAATGAAATGAAATTGTGGGATAAATAATGATCAGAATAATTATGGTCAATATGGAGTGAGGGAGAGAAAGAGAATAATGGAATAAAAATCAGAAATTGCATAATATGTAGAATATTATGAATGAGGTCAGATATAGTAGATAAATTGCCTAGAGTATCCACCTCTTTCTGTATCTGTCAGTTCAACTGCTCCTGTGGAGCAAGTTATATTGGCAGATGTTCTACAAATGTATATATTCGGGCTTGTAAGCACCTCCCACTGTGGTTAAGCAAAGTTGTAGTTGAAACGGTTAACAGCTCCATTTTAGACTATTTAATTCAGACGGCACATACAGCCAACATGGAGCAATCTTTCGCAATAATATATCGTGTTAACAGCAGTTTACCTAATTCCGTCAGATAGAGAATCCTGCAGACGGCTGAAGCAATTGCTATTCGGATCAAAAAGCCAGAGATTTGCATCCAAAAGAAATATGTTTAGTCGCTCCTTTTACCATGGCCAAATTCGAGGTCAACTAGTTAATAATCAATTTTGCAATATTATTATCTGATTATTATTATCTTTACCATTATCATTATTATTGTTAATATTATTATTACACTTTCTAACCGTTTTGAGAAATTTATTCACTATCCATCCCTATCTATTATATCTAACCTCATTCATATTATTCTACATATTGCGTAATTTCTTTTCTTTTTATTCCATTATTCTCTTTCTCTCTCACTCCATATTGACCATAATTATTCTGATCATTATTTATCCCACAATTTCATTTCATTTATAAACTGATTCAAGTCAACAACTTTATATTAGTCAGCTCCAACATGAAGGACTCGATTTGATTTGATTTGATATATGACAAACAACAATTCTTGATTCACATATTACAATTTCCAAATGATGTACCCTGCCTTCAATCTGGTCAATTTTATGGATTATTAATATGGATATGAGATAATTGTAGAATATGTAATGAGAAATTCATTGAAAAGAATATTCTCGGTTCAACATTTGTTTGTTTTGAAATCTGAATGGTACTATACAAGGATCTCGTGAAAATATTTTGTTTATTTCTTTCAAACAAAAGAAAAATTAGGTACAACTTACCAAGTTTTACTATGATTGACAAATTCTTTGATTAATTTTTGAATTTTCTAATTTTGAAAAGAAAAAGTTTTTCGTTGAATGAAATAACTTTCACTTACTTGATTTCCAATAGATTCACTTAGTAATAATGCACTATGTCCATTCTACAATTACAAATACAAATGGCAAAAGAATAATCACACGATTTGAAGGAATCGGTTTGCGAATTCGGGTTTAAAAACTACGATTTAGTTAAATTGTCTTACTGAAAAATAATGAGTAATATTTGCTTTCGCTTACACTAAAATGCTTTGTGACAGAAACCAATGCTAACTGGAGGAGGTGGTTATTGATAGAATATAAG